AATAAAACTAGCTACAAATTATTATATTTGGTCTACTATTGATGGTGCAAGAGGTGGTTGAAGTAAGGGTGTGAATGTTGGTGGGGTGGCTTGTGCTCGTTCGGCGAACAAATTACTTTCCTAGTACTGTAGATTGAATCTTGGCACATTATGGTACCAGATTTTCTAGTTCTAAATGATATTCAGTTTCGGAGGGGTTTTTGTAGTGCATAAGTAAGGGTACGGTTGGTGGCGCACGTGTGAATCCCTTTGAACCTGTCAGAGTTCAGTGAAGAACTTTACGCAAAGGGAAGAATTTGAGGATTGTACTGGGGTTGTATTGGGTGAAGCTACGAACAGTATATATAGGTGAGTAGCTGTAAATAACGCTAGTGTGACGTGGCAGTCACTCTCATGGAGGTGAGGTACAACAGGCAGGAGCACCCCAAACCGTGACAGAACCACATCACTGCCCACAATATGTCGTCTGCTTGCCTTCTTTTCATGATCATACAATTGAATCAAGTACACGTCAAGATAACGACTCTTAAAGATGCTTTCATTCAAATGAAGCCTTTTCGCAGCTCTCTTCTATCTCCACTTCTGCCTTTTGACGTAGCTAAACTACTAGAAGTCATTCTGTCGCAGGCCAAGCGCTATTGTGAACCTAAACTGTGTTAATATCGTGCCATGCAAGGGCCTAGATATAAGTTGGGCTATGATGCTAGAACAATACAACAACTTACACACTCCTCTCAATTTTCTATACCTGCATTACCACACCTAACCGTGCGACACATTCAATGCGAACTCTCTAAATAGGAACGTAAAACTTACGTGGACATTCTCGACGACATATTCAAAAATTCTGCAGCAATCGGGCAGATAGTAGCGGCCGGCATGGCAGTTCGAATCTTTAGAGCGGACCTTGAAAGAATTAAAACAAGGCTAAAATATCCTCAGCGCACATCACATCACCTAGGCATGGCTACTGCCTCTTTGTCCTTGTTTCTGACCATTTCAATGGTCTCAAGGGTACCGCAACACTGGTACGCGACTATCGCCAGGCTTCCGACCACGGTTTTGTACCAGATAATTTAAGCATGGCGGAGCTGAATGCCTGCTTTAATGCGTCTGTTGCTGCGCAGATCGCTATCTGTCGGAGGGGTGAAGGTATCCACCGATTGCCTTCTGTTTGCTAGCGGTCCACTGCACTGATTGTGTTTGCTAGCGGTCGGCTGCAGTGACTGTCCAGCTCATTTGGTTAGTTCAGTTTGCTTCCCACCCTTCACTGCTATCCCCTTCTACTATATAGTCTCGATCGATTCCAGCCGATAGCTCAGAAGATCAATCAATCATCTCAACTCTTCCACAGAACGTGGTAATTGTATACCATTCTTATTCGGGCTTTTTCTGTCACGTACATGGCCTTTCTGTAAAATTCCTACTCTCCTTCGAATGAGTGTCTGTTAGCTAGAATCTATATGCAAAGATCAATTGAGCATTATTTCTCCGAGTCCTTGCGTGTCGTGGCTTTGATCCATCATTTTCATGATCCAGCGCTTGCCGGCGATATAGTGTTGCCGATGATGTTTCGACTGAGGCCCCAGCGAGGCTTTCGGTCATGTTTGATGTCGTACGGTCAGGTGCGTGTATTGTAGACGTGGAAATGTTAGAAGGGTGAGTATGTTGTTGTATTGTTCTAATAACCTAGCTCAGCTTATATTCAGGCCCTCACACGGCACTACAGTTCATGTTCACGACAGCTGCGACATCTGAAGACCCTTGGCCACGACGGATACGAAGCCGCCAGGCTCGAGCAGTCCTGGTTCAGGCAGCGTAAGTTGATTTGCATGCGGATGGTCACAGAATCTTGAGGGAGTGGCCGCCGCTGTGGCTCGGGGAAAGAGTTCCGCGCCTTCTAGCGCGGAATCGGTGTGTCGATCAGCGATAGGCAAACTCCTTCGGTCGAAGCCACGGCTTGTGTTCCCCGTGTTCCCCGTGTTACCCGTGTTCCCACGTGGAAGGCATGATGACTCGTACGCAAGGTCTAGTGTCCAAGCTGCCATAGTACGCTGCTCTGAAGGACGCTGGAGGAACGGAGTGCCGACATTGCACAATGCATGTCGTCAATATGCAGCGGCCAGGGTTAGCCAATGTGTTTTTCGTTGCCCAAAAGAAGCATTCAGCTTGACAAACGTTTTATCGTACATATTGCCTATCAGGATGCACCGAGATCTTCGACCCACAATACCCGTGGCGTCACTTGTCGATGTCCAAACCAAACCCCAGCATCGGCATGTCAACACATGCCACATGGTGAAATGCAAATACCACAAACCCTTTTTGGACAATCGGAGATTTGCTTCGGGCCGTTTGCAAAGAATCTTGGACGCACAACGTTTGCAACAGGTACGCGTTGACTTGAAAGATGCAACCCTTACCCAGCTCAGCGCTGGCACCGGCCAACGCACCTCAGCGGCAACCGCTGGTTCGCCCCCTGTCGCGCGCCTGCAGGTACGAGGTACACGGTTGCGGATTCAGTTGGGCACATTCGCCTAGCTTTCACTGCTGCGCAATCTCCCAAACGCAGGCCCAACTTAGCAACAGGGGCTAGTCAAATCTCCGGAAGACTCGTTCCCCCCGGCATTCTATCCCATCGCAAGACAATGGCCATATGTAGATCCAATGATCAGGGCTTAGACGAAATATGGGCCGGGGAGGACTTCCAGTCGCGCAGCCGCACCGTTATGTTTCGATCTGAAAGCTCTCGTGCAGCCACCAGCCAGCCATCGACTACGAAGGGAAGCTTTGCTCTGGCAAATGAAGGCGTTGGTACACCACTTGAGCCTAGGATGGAACCATCAGCAGGCTCGTCTGCGCGTACTCCGGTATTCATGGAACTCGGATGGCAAATGTAGCTGCTTGCTGCTTCTCCAGCAAAGAGAAAAGTACTGTACTAAGGCATTAATCTGTTCGCGGCGCACGGGCCAAACCCCAACCACTGCAAATGCAATGACCAACATCACAACTTCAACCCGCTACTACACAACCACAATGAGGGCTTTTGGAGCTAAAATTTCAGGAGATCGCGTCCCAGGTGGTGAATTATCCGTTTGCCAAAGGGATAGTATTGTCTCCAAGGCAGAGGCAGGCTGTACTACCAAGGAACTGGCAGAAGAATTCAGCTGTTCACGTCGCACAATCCAGAAG